CAGCGGCGACTGCTTCAGCCCGTAGAGGCTCTTCAGCAGCTTATACACCCGGCCGGTCCCATCGTCGAAGTAGTCCGGCTGGTACATGTAGAGCACCCTGTCGAGCTTGCTCTGCAGGAAAGCGTTGTTCATATCGAGCTGCATCAGGCTGAGGTCGAGGACGGCGACGATGCTGAGGAAGATCCTCGGCGTGACGTAGCTGCTCACCGGCGACTACGTCTCGTCGTAGTCGGCACCGCACACCTACGTGAAGCCTTTCACGACCAGCCTCGCCTTCTCGCGCTCGACGGTGTCATCGATGCGGTACTTGGTCGTCAGCACCCACCGGTTCTTCATTATGTTCACCCCGCGTGGGCGTTCGACCAGCTCTCAAGTGCCCATGCCGATGAGGCTGCGGATCTCTTCTTCCATGGCGGCCTTCACTGCCTCGGCCTTCCAGCTCGCCAGCGCCTCCTTCACCGTCATCGTGGCGATGTCCCAGCAGTGTTCGGGGTCAGCGTGTACATTGGGGTCGAGCTCCGGCAGGTCGACGTCGTCTTCAGCGTCGTCCTAGAGCAGGTCATCGTCGACTTTGTCGTACACCGAGGTGAAGGCAGCTGGGGGCAGGCAGGCGTAGAAGACCAGCCGCTCCGACGGCTTCCGAGTTCAACCTGTGCGTCGCAGCTCAGGCTTCTCGACCGGAACCTCCACCACATCGCTGTTGGTGGACTCTTCTCCTGCCAACAGCTCCCCTTCTTCTTCGACGGCCACGTCGTCAACCAGCTGCTTCGACCCTTCGACCAGCTGCTCACCTCGTGCTGACTTCGACAGCTCCCCTGTCGACCGCCCTGTCTGCTGCTCCCCTGTCGACTGCACCCTTGCTGTTGCCTCCTATTCGACCGGCTCCCCTGCCTGCTGCTCCTCTGTCGTCACCATGCAGCCCCACACCCACGCCAGCGTGAGGTTGGGCGTCTTCCCGGTCAGCAGCTGGTACGGAGTCGTCCGAGCCTTTGTCGAGGATGGTGTGCCGCGCCAGCTTTTCTCCGACGCACGAGACACACGGCGGGTCTGCTCCAGTCGACGATTTGATGTTGAGCCCAGTAGCAACTTCATGCTTCGCTAAGCTCTTGATCGTGTTGACGCCGACGTGCGCGAGCCTCGCATGCAACCGATCAGGGGTCGACTTCGTCGCCGAGACGATCGTCCGTATAGCCACCACTTCGGTCGACAACGATCGCGTCGAGCAGGGGCGAAGGTCGATGCAGAGGACTCGTCCGTTGTAGCGTGCTCGATCGAGCACCTCCCCGGTCGCAGCGACGAGCAACATCTCGTCACCGTCGCCCTGCAGCTGCACTTCGCTCTCCTTCAGCTGGCCAGCAGATAGCAGGTTCGCCTATACGCCCAAAACGTAGAGCACGTCGGGAATGAGGACCCACTTCCCGGCCTCCCCTTGTAGGGCGATAGTTCCACGACCCTCGACAGGCTGCAGTGCCCCGTTGAATCCACGCAAGTGCTTCACATCGTCGCTCGGCGCCATGTCGACGAAGACCGCCTTCGTCCCCATCAGGTGGTGGGAGCAACCGCTGTCGAGCAGCACCGCCATCGGGTTTGCCTGCACAGCTGCCGCCACCGCCTGGAAGTCCTCGCCAGCCTCCGGCGACAGCGAGACCGTCGGCTCCACTATGTCGACCATAGAGCAGGACGCCTCCCCGTCGCCTCGGCTCTTGCCGCTGGAGTGGTCGATGTCTTTCGTCGACGACGTCTTCTTCGACGTCTGCTTCTCCTTGCGCGGCTTTGCATCTCAACGGGGGCGACGGCTGGTCGACCAACCACAACCTCCCTTGGTGTTGTCCTGGTCGCTGTCGTCGCGATCAGGGCACTCGTAAGAAAGGTGGTCGGGATCGTGGCTCGACCACCACCTCCAGCCCTTGTCCCGCGTCGACCTCTTCTTGTCAACGTCATTCGTCGACCACCCGCCTCCGCTACCACCTCCGCCCGGCTTCCCGTGCTGCCCTTGCTGCTGATTCATCTTCGTTGGTGCAGCGTGGTTTGCCCGAGGAAGGATCTCCGTGGGCTGTTCGGCCTCCTACATCGCCTCGTCTTCAAGGATGTAGCTGGTGATGGAGTCCTCGTTGAGGGACTCACGCGTGCCGGGTACCATCATCATTCTCTTCATGATGTTGTAGCCACGCGGCAGGCCCTTCACGATGTGGGTGATGTAGGACGTCGTCGAGTATTCGGCGCCCGCCATCTGCATCTCAGCTAGGATCCGTCGAGCACGGTTGCAGTAGTCCGTCGCCGACTCCTGGTCGCCCATACGAATGTGTGTCATCTTCTCCTCCAGCTGTTTGATGTACAGGTCGTCCCTGACCTGGTACGTCGACAGGATGAAGTGTCATGCTTGGTGACCAGCATCTAATCGCTCTCGACAGTTCCTAAGCGCCAGCTGCACCACTGGCGAGCAGCACTTCGAGATGACCATGAAGGTGAGCAAGTGAGCAGCACGAAACTCCCCGCGCAGCTCGACATCAACCACGAGCAAAGTTGGCACAGTGCCGTCGGCGAAGCCTTTCAGCTCGGCGACCTCCAGCTGAGGTTCTATCGACTCCCTCCAGGTGATGAGGTCTCGTCGACCTTGCAGTGGTGCGACGGTGATCCAGTCCGGCGAGAACTTGAAGTAGCCATACGCCGGTGCAATTTCGCCCGCCGTCACGTGCGTCGTCGTCGAGAGCCCTCCACCGCTTCGTAGAGGAGAGCGACGTCGACCATCGACGTCGGCACGCGAGCTGCCTGCAGCCGCCGTCGACCGCTGCAATCGCGCCTAACTCCTGTCGACGCCACCGTCGACCTTGATCATTCCTCTCTGCTTCGTGCCATTGTTGCCGCTGACTCGTGCACAGCCGTCAACCTCGTCGTCGACGCCACCTTCGTTTCGCACCGGTTGAGGAGAAACAGGACGGGAAGGGTGTTCCGTCGCCCATTGCGCCCGGATGCCCAGCTCAGCGATCGCCCAGGGGATCGACCCGTACTCGCCATCCTCATTGCGTTTCCTCGCATCAGCCAAACGTGCCTCCAAAGTGTCCGCTACGCCCGCATTAGCTACGGGGTCGACCATGGCGACTAACACTGCAAAAGTTGGCTCGTATATGAAGGTAATCTGCAGGGCCTTCCACGCTCACCGCACCATGCGGAGATTGATTCTACAACGGTAGTGAGCTAGACTACAGGGGTTGGCACGAACTACTAGGCACCTAGCAACTCTATAGCTAGCCTGGTCGACCGACAGCACAGCATGGTCGATCGCCTGCCAGCGTTGCGTAGAGGAGCCGCGCCAACACTGCAGAAAGGTGGCCTGCCAACACAGCAGGTCGACGGTGTGCCAACGCTTCACAGAGCGGTTGTCGAGCGTTGCCCCGTAGAAGACAGCAATGCCCACGCTCACATGTCCGCACAGACGATTGGCCCGACTTGTACTGTAGTGCATCCGTCGGCTGTTGTCTGCGCATGACGAGCCACATCGACTTCGGGATACCAACCGCTCACGACTTCGGGATACCATCACGACCTCGACGACGTTTGCGTGCCTCTGCAGAACTCGCCGAGCACGTTACCCGGTCGACCTGAACAACCCAAGGTGCTCTGGCCGACCACCAAGTGCCTCTGGTTGACCACCAGGTGCCCCTGGTCGATCACAGCTTCCGTCGAGCTACCCCCTGGTCGACGGACCCCTTCCGTCGACCAGAACTGTCAGCTGTTGTCGCCGAGCTCCCCTCGTCGACCGCTGCTTACTTGTCAGGTCAACGGACTGCTCCGTTGATCTCCTAATCGAACTGCAGGTCGACGGACTGCTCCGTCGACCTCCCGGTCGAACTGCCCCTCCTGGTCGACGGCCCACCCGTCGCCCAGACCAGTCAGTTGTAGCTGTCGAGCTCCCTGGTCGACAGCAACACTACAGCGGTCCCCTGCAGCTCGACGAAGCCTGTCGAGCAGCTCTCCCACTGTGAACGATCGGCTGCTACTCCCGTACATCCGACCAAGTCGTCAGCGTTGCCCAAGCGAGGGCGGGGCCAACACTCCACCCCCGTTAACAAGAACTGCCTGCTGGGGAAACGACGGCATGAGTACACGTAGATGTAGGAGTAGAGGGGGTTGACGGGTAGAGGAGTTTCTAGACAGGTAAAAGCTGCGAGATCTAAGACGAGATTTGTGGATATATGAGAGTGTGTAAGCCGTGAGGGACAACGTGTATCCGGTCGAAACATTGAAGGAGAGAAAACCACATGGGCAGAAGAGTCACGTTTGTGAAGAATGGAGTATAAAGGGGGGGAGCGTGATGGAAAGAAAAGCCAGGGACAACCTCCTGGGAGGGAAAAAACGTGGGGGCAGGAAATGTTTCTGGTTTAGAGGGGAATTAATAGGCCAGGATAGCACACATGGGTAGGGGAAGGCAACATGGACAGATAAGTACAACACGAGCAATGGAGCATAGATGGGCACAACTGGGCCACAAGAAGGGCAGGAGAATCAAGGGACTGAAAGAACGCACATCCAAGTGCTCGGGCCCAGGGGGTTCACACGAGAAAAGAGGTAATTGTTAGGGAGAAAAGCAACTAGTGGGCGAGCAGAGACGCTTGGGCGGGGCAGACCACATGAAGGGGGGTGAGATCAACTGCAAGGGGGGGCACAAAATAAAATGAATGCCACAACAGTGAGGTGGGGAGAGCATATGCGACGAGAGGAGATGAGGCGCAACGGAGGGCAGAGCAACAAGGAGAGGCGATGCGTGACGGGGGCCAGTGCGACGAGGGAGGGTGAGGCGTGACGGGAGTGGGCACGACGAGATGAGGGCGTGACGAGGGGATGGGAGGCGCGACAAGGGGAGTGGAGGCGCGACAAGGGGACAGAAGGGGCTACGAGGGGCGGCGCGATGAAAGGAAGGGAGGCGCAGCGAGGGGTGGCACGACTATGGGAGGGGAGGGGAGGTGCGACGTGGGTGGAATGGGAGGTGCTACGTAGGCGGAATGGGAGGTGTTAGGAATGGAAGGTGCAGCGTGGGCTCAATGGGAGGTGTGGCGTGGGCAGAATGGAAGGTGCAGCGTGGGCGGAATGGGGGGTGCTACGTGGGCGGACTAAAAGGTGCGACGTTGGCTCAATGGGAGGTGCCGTGTGGGCAGAATGGAAGGTGCGGCGTGGGCAGAATGGGTGGTGCTGAGTGGGCGGCGTGGGCAGAATGGATGGTGCTGCGAGGGCGGCGTGGGCAGAATGGGTGGTGCTGCGTGGGCGGCCTGGGCGGAAAGGGTGGTCTGGGCTACTTGAAAACATCAACCTGCACACCTTGTGGACCATACAGCTTAGAACTTGCTGAGCTTTGTTCGCCATGCGCGCCTATGTCGTGCGTATTGTGCTGTGTCGCTACGAAATATGTTTGGAAGGCATGTGAAGTGCAGTTAGCAATGGCCTCTCCCATCCACTACCCTTCACTTGCCCTCTCCCCTCCACTATCCCTCCCTTGCCCTCTCTCCCCCGCTTCTCTTCCCTCGCCCTCTCCCATTATTACCCTTCACTTGCCCTCTCCCCTCCACTTTCCCTCCCTTGCCCTCTCCCCTCCACTTTCCCTCCCTTGCCCTCTCCTCCACGCTACTCTTCCCTCACCCTCTCCCTTTTATTACCGTTCCCTTGAGCTCCCCCCTCCACAACCATTCCTTTTGACTCCTCCCTCCGCTACCCTTTCGTTGCCCGCTTCCCTTTCCTTCCGTTTCCATATCCCCTCCACTACGCTCCTCTTGCCCTCTCTCCGTCAATAACTTTCCCTTTCCCTCTCCCCTCTACTACCCTTCCCGTTGCTCTCTCCCCTCCACTACCCTTCCCTTGCCCTCTCCCTTCCCACTACCCTCATCCTCTCCTCCCATTCACTCTCTTATTCCCAATCAGCCACACTCAGTTTTGAGACCCCACAGAACCCTCAAAGATGCCTCAAGCCAGTGATAACTCACACATGCATCTCCCAAGACGCCCATCCCCCAGTGAAACACCAAAACACATGATCATTTCTCCGAAAAGTGTGTCAATATCACAGTTCTCTTGCACAAGCAGTCTCAGCGATGGGCAACAATGAAGCAGCAGCAGGTTCAACAGCAATGATGAGTCCAAGTGACGATCCTACTTCAGCCCTGCTTCTCGGCCTCCCTCGTCAACGAGGTGACTCTTGAGTCTACTCACATCGGCAAAATGCTAAGGGTTTGTGGCGATCATACTTCAGCCCTGCTTCTCGGCCTCCCTCTTCAATGAGATCACTTTTGAGTCTACTCGCAATGGCAGAATGCTTAGGGTTTGTGATGATTCAACTTCAGCCCTGCTCCCAGCCCTCCCCCTTCAAAATCCTGCCTTCTGCTTCCAGCAGGTTTGACGACAGAATGGTAACTGGCAATGAGGATTTTGCCCCAGCCCTGCCTTTCACTCGTCCCCTTTCTCCCCATCACTCTTCCCAATCAGATCTATGTCCCCTCCCTCCCCTGTCTCCCATTCTCCTTCAGCCATGCTCCTAAACTTCCCCTTCAGCTTCTGCCTTCTGCTTACCATTCATCCCCTTTCTCCCCATCCCCATTCACAATCACATCTGTGTCCCCTCCCTTCTCTTTCTCCCATTCTTCCATCAGCCCCGCTCCTAGCCTCCTCAACCCCCTCAAAACCACCCACCCCTCAGCTTCTGCCTTCTGCCTTGCACTCATCTCGTTTCTCCACATCCGCCTTTCCAATCGCTTTTTTGTCCCCTCCCTTCTCTCTCTCCCTTGTCCCTTCAGCCCTGCTCCTCGCGCTTCCCCTCGTGTGCTGCCTTCTTCCTACCACCCCCCTCCCCTCATCCTCACCCTCTCCATTCATATCCATCCCCGCTTTCCTCCTTCCTTCCCCTCCCTCTGCCTCACTCCCCCCCATAAACCCCACCTCATCCTCTTCCCCCGTCTCCCCCTTCTCCACTCCTTCCTCCCCCTTAAACCCCAACAAGTCATCTTCTGCCCCATTCCGCCAATTCTCATACTCATCCGGGAAATTCGTCAACGCTCGGGGCCTACCAAGTTTCACCGCCGCCCGATCGTGCGCTCGGGCAGCGATTCTGGACAGGTGAGCGTTCCAAGCCACACACGGGAGTTCTTCTTGGGAAATCGGATCTCCGCCACCCACTTCCTGCAGTGCCGCTGCCGCACCCCCCGGTACCTGTTCTTGTATTTTCTTGCTCATCTGCCGGCCGCCATAGTGGACAGAAAAGGCGGAACTGTGATGGCACTTGTGGCTGGATTAGACGACGCATCAAGAGGTGCACCTCTGCTTCTCGCTTCACCACCATCAGGGGGGATCCGCACTGCTGCAGCAGCATCTCTGGCTGCTATTGTAGGCGTTTCTCTATCTGCTTTACTTGTCTTTGCTGCTTTCCGCCTTGCTCTGGCACCCGAGACTGCTCTGCTGCACCCGCTACTATGCCCACTCCCACTGCTAACAACCCTACCACCGCCTTCCCCTCCACCATTACCCCCAACATTCCCACCACCACTCTTACCATTGTTATAGTCACAATAGGCTTGAATGTGCCTAAAACGAAAGATAGAGAGCACAGACGGATTTCTGCACAGCGGCTTCAAACGTTGATAGCGTTCTGCACACAGCTGCAAATGACTTGATTCAAATTGGATCTGGAGCGTCTTCACGTCGTCTACAATTATCAATTTAGATTGCACGATTTGATAAAGAATTGACGACACAGCGTCGGTTTGAACGAACGGTACTATGGCAGCCACTATAGTCTTAGAACACAAGATAGGAAGAGTTACGAGTTGGGAATGACTCCCAGCTCCTACAAACCCCAAGAGCCTAGGTACAGTGATGTGGAACAGTGCCACACTGTCCCCAACCACGAAGGGTCTCGAAACTACCCTTCACTAGGGCCTACACCAAGTGAAATGTTACACTACACAAAGTAATGTAACTATCTTCAATATCTTGAGGTGTACCCTTTTGGCAAGCTTCGAAATCACTTGAGGCTTGACACCAAGGCTCGGGCTCTTCATCACAAACTCATCCTTGAGTTCTTGATGGGTCTGCTGCACACACCTGCGACACGCCGAACGTTCGACACAGGACAAAATAGGAACCGCGCACGACAAAATAGAAACCGCGCGCGAGACACAAACGACCGCGTAACACGCGTCTAGCGATAACTCGCTATTGACTCGACACACACACTCGACATCATGACTCAACATTCACACACAATTATAAGCATAAAATATATATTATCCCATGCCCTCATACCATTCCATACACACACACATTCACGCACACGGACAACAAGCCGAGTGCAAACCGTAGGGTTGCACCAACAAACTCCCCCTCGGATTGTTGGCCTTAGGATATGTTGCTCTCTCAGTTCAGAGCCATCCCAGCCAGCTTGCAACACTTCCAATGCTGCTGCTCCACCAGCCTCTTGGTCATCATGTCAGCCGGCTGCCCCGTGGTCTTCACGTAGCGCAACTCAACTTCACCCGCGGTTACCATGCTCCTCGTCCAATGCCACTTCACCCTCATGTGCTTCGTGAGTCCATGCAACACAGGGTTCTTAGCAAGAGCAATGGCACCCTGGCTGTCACAGTACAGTGGGGTAGGTCCTTGCTGCTCCTCCCCCAATTCAGCCAACAAACGCCGCTGCCACACAATCTCCCGTACGGCACGGAAGAGTGCCATGTACTCGGACTCCACCGAGCTCAAAGCTTGGTCAACCTGCTTCTTGCTCTCCCAAGCAGTTGGGCCTCCACCAACACAGCATATGAAGCCTCCCACACTTGTCATGTCCTCTGGTTCTGATGCATATGAAGCATCCGAGTAGGCGGTGAGGAACAAACGCCCGGGTTCAACACCATCCGCGCCCTTTTGGCGCCTTTGTGCCGCCGCCGAGTATTGCAGCCCAACGGTCGGTGTTTGGCCAAGATACTTGGCCACCCTCATTCCAGCTGCTACCTGCTCCTCATTAGGGCATTGCACAACCCTAGCCAGCTGCCCGGTAACAAACGCGACGTCCGGTCGGGTGTTTACCGCCGCATACATGAGGCTGCCCACCAACGAGTGAAATCGGCGCCTCTCCTCTTCACCAACGCTCTCCTCCTCTGGTCCCTTCACACACTTGAACCCAGAGGGAAAGGGTGTAGCCACATGGCCTTCACTCTGCCCAAAGTTGGCAGCCAATGCCTCCAGGTACTTTCGTTGATGCACCCGCATGCACCGCTTCTCCACATCTCGTTCGATGTGGAGCCCAAGGTAGAAGCTCACGTCACCAAGGGCCTTGCACTTGAACTTGTCTTGAAGCTTCAGCATCACCTCCTTCACAAGGTCAGAAGAGGGTGAGAAAATGAGGATGTCATCCACATAAACCACCATGAAACTCCTCTGCTCCCCCTCGCCAAGCATGAACAAGGAGTGATCGGCCGTTGAGGGAGTGAAGCCGATCCCCTCCAACACTTCGCGCAGCTTCATGTACCATTGCCTAGGGGCCTGCTTCAGCCCATAGAGGGCCTTCTTCAGCTTCCACACTCTGCCACTACCATCATCAAACCCCTCTGGCTGCGCCATAAAAATCTCCTCCTCAAGGATGCCGTTAAGGAATGCCGTTACGATGTCCATTTGCTTTACTACCCATCCTTTGATGGCGGCTCCCGCGAATAGGGTTCGCAGCGTCGTCGGCTTCACCACAGGGGCAAACAGCTCCTTGAAGTCCACCTTCTCCTTCTGCTGGTACCCCTTGGCTACAAGCCTAGACTTGTAGCGCTCGATCTTGCCGTCGGCATCCGACTTGATTTTGAAGAGCCACTTGGACGTTATCGCCGTACGCCCCTCCGGTAGCTCCACCAATTCAAACGTGTCATTCTCCTCGATGCTCTTCAGCTCACTATCCATGGCCTTCTTCCACTCCTCAGCATCACTACTCTCCAAAGCCTCCTTGAGAGTTGCTGGTTCTCCCGGCATCTCCACCGGAGAGAAGAACGCGAAGGCACACTCCTCGTAGTCACTCTCCTCGTCGTCTCCGACCATCATTGCCGCTCCGGCCAGGGCTGTCTTGCCCTGCTTTCCCGGCGCATCATAGGTCAGCCTATTAGGGGGTTGAACTCTCCTCTTCCCCCTTCCTTCCTCCTCGGCTGCAGGGACTTGAAGGCCTTGGCGTTGCTGCGGTGTGGCTCGAATCCGTGGAGCACTCGTAGTACGGGAAGGAAGTGACGGTGCACGCTCGCTCACTTGCTACACCTCCTCCTCTTCTTCCTCTGGATCATTGGCCTCCTCTCCCCCATTCACAAGGGAGGATTGCCTTGTGGTTGTGCTGCCGCTGCTCAGCTCCAAAGGCAGCTCCACATGCTCCAAACCGGAACTCTTCACCTCCCCAAACCGCACGCCTATCTTCGCCTCATTCTCCGCCTTCCAATCCTTGTACATGAAGTTCTCCATGAACTTGCAGTCCCTGCTCACCAAGAACTTCTTGGTGAATGGGTCCCAAAGAAGCCATCCCTTGCTGTTTTGAGCCATGCCCAAGTGCACGGCCCACACCGCCTTGGCACCAAGCTTGTTGTGCCGAAGATGCTTAGGCACGAGCGCCATGCACATGCACCCGAACACCCGAAGCATATCCACCTTTGGCTTCCTTCCCAGCCACTCCACATAGGGCACCCATTTGTCTGCTCCCACATGAGTCAAGGCTCTGTTCTTGGCCACACACGCGCTCCGCACCGCATCAGGCCAGAAATAGTCGGGTAGCCCGGCTTCAATGAGCAACCCGCGTGCCGCCTCCGCGATTGTGCGGTTCGCTCGCTCGGCGATGCCGTTCATTGCAGGGGAGTATGGCATGGTGAGGGAGTGCCGAATACCATTCTTCTTCAGCCACAACCCAAACTCCTTGCTCAGGAACTCTCCCCCTCGATCGGTGCGGATTGACTTGACTAGACGGTCTTGTTGCCGCTCCACCATCGGGAACCAATCCGTCTTCAACGTTTCAGCCACGTCGCTCTTCTTGGCCAGCACGTACACCCAAGTCATGCGGGTGTAGACGTCGACAATGGTGAGAAAATACTCAGCTCCAGCAGCTCCAAGCTTCAGGGGGCCCACCACGTCCTTCACCACCTCATCAAGCGGTGCCTTTGCCGTTGCCTCCGAACTAGGGAACGGAAACCGGGTGTGTTGGTGCAACCCTACGGTTTGCACTCGGCTTGTTGTCCGTGTGCGTGAATGTGTGTGTGTATGGAATGGTATGAGGGCATGGGATAATATATATTTCATGCTTATAATTGTGTGTGAATGTTGAGTCATGATGTCGAGTGTGTGTGTCGAGTCAATAGCGAGTTATCGCTAGACGCGTGTTACGCGGTCGTTTGTGTCTCGCGCGCGGTTTCTATTTTGTCGTGCGCGGTTTCTATTTTGTCCTGTGTCGAACGTTCGGCGTGTCGCAGGTGTGTGCAGCAGACCCATCAAGAACTCAAGGATGAGTTTGTGATGAAGAGCCCGAGCCTTGGTGTCAAGCCTCAAGTGATTTCGAAGCTTGCCAAAAGGGTACACCTCAAGATATTGAAGATAGTTACATTACTTTGTGTAGTGTAACATTTCACTTGGTGTAGGCCCTAGTGAAGGGTAGTTTCGAGACCCTTCGTGGTTGGGGACAGTGTGGCACTGTTCCACATCACTGTACCTCGGCTCTTGGGGTTTGTAGGAGCTGGGAGTCATTCCCAACTCGTAACTCTTCCTATCTTGTGTTCTAAGACTATAGTGGCTGCCATAGTACCGTTCGTTCAAACCGACGCTGTGTCGTCAATTCTTTATCAAATCGTGCAATCTAAATTGATAATTGTAGACGACGTGAAGACGCTCCAGATCCAATTTGAATCAAGTCATTTGCAGCTGTGAGCAGAACGCTATCAACGTTTGAAGCCGCTGTGCAGAAATCCGTCTGTGCTCTCTATCTTTCGTTTTAGGCACATTCAAGCCTATTCTGACTATAACAAGTGGTATCAGAGCCCCTTGGAGCAGTTTCGACAATGTCTGGACCTGAGGAAAGGGGTGGCAGAGGTGCTGGTGGCAGTGGAGAAGCTCAAGCTCAAGGCCAACCCCGTGATTCAGCCATGGCGCCCATGCAACCAAGTCTTGGCCCACCTAGGGATGAGCCTAGGGTGTTTGGGCTTGACAAGTTCAACGGTGACAACTTTGCTGAATGGTCCTTCAAGATGGAGAACATCTTTGACCACTATGACCTGCTGGAGGTGATGGAAGGAACGGAGAAGCGCCCCGAGAACGACCCGGAGAAGAGCCCGTGGGTGCGGAAGAGCGCACAAGGCTATCTCTTACTTGGGCAAGCGTTGGGGAGCAGTCAGATCCGTCACATCAAGCCATTCCAGCGTGAAGCAAAGAAAGGACCAAAGGCATGGGCTGCTCTAAAGGGTGTACATGCTCCTGCAACAGCGGCGGTAGCGGTGGTGTTGGAACGGCAAATGGCGGCACTACGAATTGAAGAAGACGAAGCGGTTGAAGAAGTGGTGCAGAAATTCTTCGAC